TGTCCGAACAATTCAGGTAGGACGGCAATGCAAACAATGCGTAGAAGAAACATTGGATGCGATTTTAACCGTATCCACGACAAGGCCAAAGTTCGGGCGAAAAACCCGCAAAACGATTTCTGAGGGCACCCGCAACTAAGGTGAGGCATGGCAACATCCTGTCGGTAGTTCATATACTCTATTCTTAACTGTATTGAAGAAAAATAGATAAAATAATTTCGAGAAGGCAAAGAGCTTTTTATACAAATAATGCAAAACCCACCTCAAAGAAAGTCATAAGTTCGCCCATATTTCCGATACCTGCTCTCACTTTAATAAATTTGACCATAAGGTCTTTCCACACAGTATATAATACCGGTATGGTAGACGAAGAAGGAATTACAGCGTAGTCAAATGTCCAATAGGCGAGTCTTGGATAAATTATGCGGGAAATGACCTTAACTACATTTGCAGACTCCTTGTTGGAAGAAAGTCGAAATGATTCAGAAAAAATCCAAAATACTATGTAGCCATTGATGGTGTGACGTTCATCGATAAGACGGTGCATAAGGGCAAATGAACGATCTACAAATCTACGAAGATTTCTAAAGTCGCGTAGATTTTCCACTACTTCAACTTTCGCATCAGCACAGACATCGATTCGAGCCAAATCACGAATTAGCATTGCCGTATCATGAGGCATCCCAGAGTAGCCAGAGAGAGACACTGCATGAAATGGCATTTTGAATTATGTCCGAAAAGTAGTAGTTGATTACCTTTGTTCAGAAGCACAAAAAGGGTCTCAGTAGATTCTTCCAATAAATGTTTTACTCCTTCTCTGTCGAATGATTTTACGAAAAATGTGTCTTCTGCAAGAGAAAAGAAATCACAAAAACAAGCAATAGAGCCAAAAACAGATAACGAAAAGGCATTCATGGTTAAGGCTTTAGATACTTGAGATATGGGATAAGCGAAAGTGTTACTGATTTCTTTAAACCAACCATCCACTTCATTCTCGTCTGTGACTTCTTCTTGGTTATTCTTCATCTGCTTAATCTTAGACTTGCTCTTTGCAGCGCCTCGTGAATCGTAAGTTAGGCAGCGATATAGAGAGCGAAATACGAGAAGGCACTTCTATAAGCAGTTGCTATAGATGAAACAATGACAGGGCAAATGGAATTTACCTTATAAAGGTGAGGATTGAAAATTGTGTAAGCTTTCGATCCTGTAATACTTGCGAGATAAAGGTAAGCGCAAGCTGCCAGAGCTCCTCTTTCGCATAGTTCGAAAGTGCTGCAAAGGGAGATTAAAACTGTAGATTTAAAATACTACTTATATCTACCTATTCTTTGCTTGCGCCCATTCCACCGAGTACCAAAGAAGAACGCAAAGTTGTTTGCCCGAAATGCCAATTTTAGTCATTTCATTCCATATTTCAGAGTCATCACATTCTTGTTCAAATTTTGCAAGATTATTGAACACTAGAATAAAAACGGCTTAATAACAGATATGAAGCAACATGGATATCACTCACAGCGTCGAAGAAGTAATGTGGCTCGATCATCGTCATAAAAGGAAGGTTTATATACGGCAGATATAGTAGCAAAATCGTTATAATCACCCTCAACACTGAAACATCAATCTGTCCACTATTGAACGCTATATCACCAAAGTTACCGCCCATACAAAAATAACTATACTCGAAGATTCTCAAACCTTGATGACACCCATTCATCGCTGATGTCTCCAACGGAGGGAAATTCGGATGATAGAAATCCTATCAGTTCGTTAATGGAGGACATCAGCTAAAAGGGTGAGTTTATATTACACAAATAAATTAACTGGTCTAGCACATAAAATACACATATAATGTTTTGATTGGCCTTTATTTCACACTTGCATTAGAGCTCTTAGAATCTATACTGCGCAAGTTTTTTCTCATTTTGAAAATTATGATTGTTTTCAAGTTAGGTTATCGCATCTGAAGTATGCGAATTAGGAATCACCAGCAAAATTACTTAACATTTTAAAGCACTTATGGAAACTTGTGCATGCAACAAAATAGACTGAACAGTTGT